TTGTCTCCTTTCCCAGCCTGGATCAGGCCCTGAGGAATTGTTGAGGAATTCTGGGGTTCTGATGTGCAACCCGCTCATTTCCTGTTGGAGAACAGGATTTCTCAGAGACTCCACGCACCCAAGCAACTATGAAGCCCTAGAATCTAGAGACGTTTTTCCTTCTCCCAGCTCGTACGTTCATGCTTTGACATGTGATGTGAAGTTCCGAGCCACTGTTTTTTCCGTGCGGTATGTCATGACGGGTCCCTGTGAGTAATATAATGCGCTCGTTGTTTGCAGCTGCTGGATTCGTATTTGCCTATGTTCTTCCCACAAGGTCCCGTGTCTGTTGTCTCGTGAAATTTCCACGCAATCGAAGGTTCGAGGTTTCTGCTTACCCCCCACAAGCGGTGCCAGTGCAAGTGCCACAAGCGAGTTGATTGGTTGAGGTGTGCGAGATCATCACGGGGTGACTGGAAGGACAGCAAGGTTCTTTTCAAAGTTGAGCTTCCTGAAAATAGAGGCGGTCTTTTGGCTCGGTGATGACACTATGACCTGACGATAGGAAGTGCCGTCTGATGCGACGTCTGACCGTCAGAACTCGCCTCCATGCCATCAAGGGCCAGCCACTGCAGAGCACAGGCATCCGAACCCTGTCCCAATCCTGACCGTTCATTCAGCAGCAATCAAGCCATGGATTTGGCTCGCTTGCTGGGTGTAATGTGAGGGAGGACGGCTTTCTGGGCGAGGCTCTGCCTAGTGCCGCTGGGGTGGGCTTCTTGCAAGTGGAGTGCAATCTGATTGGTGGGTCCGAGCAGTTGACTACACACAGGCTGCTGAGAGCCATTGAACCAGTCTTCCTCACGGGAAATTCTGATTTCGGTTCTGAATATGAAAGCTGTTTTTTTTGTGCTGTCGTTTTCTACGTCTTTTCTTCTGCATTTGTATCTAAGCTACAGTACGCAGAGCTCCTTACCTGGGGCCTAGTTCTTGGCTTGTGTCACACGTGTAACGTCCTGGTTACACCAGAAAGGCCTATTCAGCAGACCTTATGTGTACAGTAGCAGGCTTCCAGTGCCTGCCAACTGAAGGTGGTCTTGCCAGAATGGACTCGTGGGGAATGGGCAGTTGGGGGGTTGATTCCATGACCCAGATCAACAATCATTCTGCGCACATTTCATTGTCGAACTCCTCTCCTCTCACTCTTTCTCTCACTTTTCATGTTTTCGTGCTGCCGAGAGCGGTGATGATAACCCAACCAGTAACGCCAGTTCTGCTTCTGACATCTGTGATGTGTACCTGGTTGTATAACCTTCTGAGTTCTCGAGACCCTATCCACGTTTCACTGTTTCCATTTTATCATTTTGTGTTTCCGTCCTAGGTGGTGCATTTCAGATTTGGTAGCATTTGTTGACTTCTGTCTCAACTATACGCAAAACCGAGTGTGTTCAGAGACAGGCTACCTATCCTGTGAACTGAATGAGTGTTTTGCAAGAACATAATATGCGGGGAATGGGCAGTTGACGGGATCAACTTATGAACCCAATCAACAATCATTCTGCGCACAACCTAGCTTCGAGCTACTACGATAATGACCCCTCATCAGGCCACCCTTGGCCTCTCATTCACTAGCTCACCCGTGCTCTCCCTGTCTCCTTCCCTTTCTCCCTCATCTCCCCCCTCCCTCCCTCTCTCTCTCTCTCTCTCTCTCTCTCTCTCTCTCTCTCTCTCTCTCTCTCTCTCTCTCTCTCTTTCTCTCTCTCTCTCTCTCTCTCTCTCTCTCTCCCTCTCCCTTTCCCTCTCCCTCTCTCCCTCCCCCCTCCCGCTCTCTCCCACTCACTCCCTTTCTTTTCCCGTTTCTCCACTGTCCTCTCGTCTTTTGTTCCGTTGCGGTCCCGTTCTTGGTTTGCAATGATGATTACCACTGTTAAATCTGTCAATCCGCTGAAAATGCACGTGTTGACAAATTCAGTCCTACAAGTTTCTGAGCAAACCACCATAATCTTTATATCCATTGCTCTGCAAACCTTGACCTTCAGCGGTATTTCTGATTTTTTTCATTCATTGAGCTAGAGATCTAGGACCCGATGGTAGCTTTTTGCTGTTCATTGGTATTGTTGGAAATAAGAAGTCGCTAGAGCGCATTGGAAGCTCTACGAATTAACGACGTCTCTACGGCGGGGCCATTTGTCACTCCTGGCTTGTAACGTGGTGCCAAAGCAGCGACCGAGGGTAGGCCGGACACAAGCTTGAGAATCGTGTATTATGAATAAGGTATTACATTCTGTTATATAGCAAGCGCACAGGGCAAACTGTTACCAAGGCGCAACTGCGTCGCTTGGGTTGCCTTGTTACAGTTGCGCTGGCGAGACTTTTCAGCTTCGGTGAGGACGCGGTATCCTGCCACGCCCCACAGGTCAGTTTCGCGTACTGTAGACGATGACTTCTGCTGTCGATTCGACTCTTGAGCTGCCACGCGGGTCGCAACCGCTGTGCTTGGTTGCGCTCTGTTGACTCGCCACCCAGTTTCAAATCCCTTGCTATGGCGAGCCCCTGTAAACACACTTCGAACAGTGCACTTACAATAAAAGCATACAAACATTTTTTCAACACTCCCCTCCACTGTTTGAAGTGTAGAAACAAGGAGAGCTGCAATCTTGCCGGGTTGAAGTTGTGAAGTCCTTGCTAGGGACTTTCCTGTAACTCCTTGAAATTCGTCTTGCAGAGTCGCCCAAAATGATGCGACGGTGCGTTGAAGATTTCCTCCGCGTAGTGCTCCGTGGGAAATGGCAGGTCGAACCTGCTCCAGAAGATGCTCCTGGTGATGATTCAAGTGGTGGGTCCATTTGTAGAAATTATCACACGTTCCAAGGTTTGGAACTCTTGCTCTGATACCATGTTGGGCTGAGAATTTCAGCCTTAGAATCTTTACAGAGAATATGCTAGTAGGTGCTATAGTAACACAGCGGAAGACTTGAGTGAACGTATTTGTGCTGGTGTGTGAGAACAAGTAATTGATTAAAGCCAAGGGCATACAGGAATATATAGAAAAGATACATTACAAGAAGCGGTTATGTTTATCGAGACGCGTAACTCTTCGACTATCGAGGCGGTTACTGTTCACTGAAGCGTCGCTTGCTGTTACGTAACCTCCAGGCGGTTACAGGTCGCAACCTCCAGTTGCGGTTTGATGTGGTACGCGCCTTTTCGACTTCATACCCCTTTTCTTGTGCTTCAGTATTGGGTGAGGTTCGATACTACAAAAACGCACTAAGTCATGCGTTTATATTCCCAACAGGTATAAAGCACAACCGAGTTTTTGGAGTTGTTGGTTCAACCTATGGTATGTGTTCGTCTTCATACAGTCCCAAACAGAGCTTTTCAGCACTAGTTTGGGATGAATCACCATGCTTCACAACTCAAGCATACTGTATATATCCAGCAGTGGTACAAACGTTTGACTAAAATGATGCCAAAAGCAATATTAGTCCAGTCCGAGGTATGTGCTGTTCATGCACATTCACAACACGCAATCCCCAGCGCTTATAAGAGAAGCACAATACGTGTCGTGTACAATCACGCGCACATTCATTTAAAAGAAGCAAAATAAAGTCACGCAATCATATACTTTATAAGGACAGTGAACAATGTGATCTGCGAGCGCGAATTGCGAATCTGCAACGAGGATGCCTCGATAATCGATAACCAGTTATAGGCGTATTCGTCACAGTATAAGCCCATGCGCCATTTAACAGGGTGAGTTATTCAGGGTGCGTTGTTGCTTCTGTTTGTGTGTTCCTCTTAGCAGGAAAATATACGTCTGGTGTAGCTTCGACAGAGTGTTGTCCACGTTGCCCTCTTACGAGACCTGCGCTGACCGAAACTGAAGGCTCACCGTGAGTCCCGCAACGTGCGATCAAAAGGCGCAGCCAGCGTCTGACATGGCACCCTACACCACGAAAGAGTCAACAAACCACCTTTCCAAAGCGCTATTTTTCCAACTTCAATGTGCGATTCGATCCCACATTGCCTGCACCAATTTCTTTCCTCATCGTGAGACCCAACGACCAGCCATTTCTGTTGGCCCCCCGCACATCCAGTAATTTCTTCCCCTCCCGCACGTTCCCAGCCCTTGGTTGCGTTGGTGTCGTGAGCTGTGGTCTTTCTCAGCATGCAACACACGCAACCTTCACTTAGGTTGGGCTGCTTCTCTCTGCACTCCACCCACACCACCTCGCACTCTCGCAACATATTGCAAGCAAGAAGTCACAACCACCAATCCCTCCCTCATATAGCCCCTTGGCTCATCACGACCACGTTATTCGTCGTGGTTCCAGCCTGCACCCTTGGCGTGCTAGTAGGCCGCCATCTCGCATCGCCTTTGCACGTCTTCCGGAACGCGTTCTCACGTGCACGTGATTCAGTCGCTTTTCTCAACCACGCCCAGCCCTTGGCGACTGACCGGATTTTCGAGTCTCGCTCGACCAGTCTGATCCTCGTTGTCTCAGTCAGACGAATAGGCATTGCAGTTAGACTCTCAGAGTAGCGCTGAACTGCTCCCGTCTGCTATCTCTGTTCCGTCCAAGCGCATTGCAGTTGCCCTTCGTCAGAGATCGTCAAACCCGATACAGCAGAGCCAGTAGAGTGTAATTGTTACAATCAATCCTGCCGCCCTTTTTCGTTAGTATTGCCTCGAGGCCGTTTGCGTTCGATCTTCTGGCCTCCCTGGCGAGCGACGCAGCAAGGCTCGCCTTATCGAGTCTCTCTCGACCAGACCGAACGTATCGATTGATTAGCAAGCGTCGTCGAGTCGCATCGGTGCATAGGGTTCTCAAACAGAGATAAGGCATTACGGTACTGTCGGGTTGAGGTCGGCATCGTCCCCTCGTTTGAGGCACATTCGGAGGCCTTTTTTTTTCTTGAGGCGCCGTGGCATGGAGTAGAATAGTAGGAGACTCAGTTCAATTGAAAGTTTAGCTGAGCTAGCGATCATGGGGAAAGCAGAGGGGAGGGGCCTGTTTATGTCCTCCGACGTTTTTTTACTCGTTACAGTGCTTATCATCCTCCACGCCGCAACTCCCGCGCAAAGTCAAGGTAAAGATATAACTCTTCCCCGTGAAACAAGGGAATTGTCAGGACTTCACCAACATATACAACTGCGGAGGAGAAAGTGGTTCTTGATGCATAAGCTTTTCAACTTGAAGTAGCTAAGTTGGAGTTTGATGGTGTGATTATATCGGTGTACATTGCAACCGAGGCAACGGTGAACAAAACACTAAGGCAGGTTCCCGTGGGAGCGATTTACTCTAACTGAGGCATTTGAGTATGTGCTACCCTCCTTACAAGAATGGTGCCGGTACTCTAGTTCCGAACGCAATATTTCCCCTTCTCTCATCGCGTTCCTTTCAGACGCTGCAAGAAGTTATGAAGGAGCCGCCGGAGACATGGATACGTGGCAATTGTCGAATGGACGGACATCAATATCAGAGACAAAGGTGAGATGATGCAGTTGTAGGATCCAAAAGCGTCGATCTGAGGTACGTTATGATCAAACTGAAGAACCGAATTCGATCGACGTTTTGTGAAGCCATTCTGATGAAATCAACCACTGCATTTCATTCGTACACCTCCTCAAACATTTTGCATAAAGTTCATATAAATACGTACACCTTACATCTTGTCATCAATTTATTTTTTTGCTTGCTCCCAATCGTGCCAACCCCCAGAAACTCAAGGAGCACCTTGAAGTTGTCGCACGGCAACTAGCCTCGTCATCCGACTCTGGCGACGGTTCGTCGTCAGACTCTGGCAGTGGCGACGGAGGTGGCGACGGCGGCGGTGGCGACTCGTCGTCTTCGTCGTCAGACTCTGGAAGCTCCGACTCATCGTCAGATAAAAAATCGTCGTCCTCGTCAGAATCTTCTTCGAGCGATGGGGATGGTGGAGGCGATGGAAACGGAAGTTCCAGCGGTTCGTCCGATAAATCGTCAGGCTCGTCGTCCTCGTCTGATTCGTCGTCCAGCTCCAGCGGAAAGAAGAAAAAGAAGAGCTCTTTCTCCTCTTCGGATTCTTCCTCAGATTCTTCGTCATCGTCATCGTCTTCTAAAAAGAAGAAATCCAAAAAAAGTTCCAAGAGCAGTGGATCGTCGTCTGATAGCAACGGCGATTCTTCTTCAGGAGATTCGCCAGGGTCTTCGGATTCGTCCTCTGACAGCGGCGGCGGTTCCTCGTCGTCGTCCGATTCAGGATCCGATGGTGGTGATTCGTCGGGGTCTGGAGACGGCGAAGGTTCCTCCTCCTCGTCCTCGTCGTCTAAGAAAAAAGGAAAGAGCAAGAAGAAAAAGTCGTCGTCTTCTTCCAGCGACGGGAATGACGGCGATTCGTCGTCTTCTTCCTCCTCTTCATCTGGATCCAAGAAAAAGAAGAAGAGTAAAAAGAGCTCTTCGTCGGACGGTGGCGATAGCGGCTCAAGCTCGTCCGATAGCGGATCCTCTTCTAACGGGGACCGGTCTTCCTCTGGCAGCGGCGACGGAGGTGGTGACGGAGGTTCGTCAGGCGACGGAGGAAGTGACGGAAAAAGCGTCCAAGAAAGTGACGGAGATGGGGGAGGGGGCGGCGGAGGAGACGGAGGAGGGAGCGACGGAGGAGACGGAGGCTCGTCTTCCTCTGGAAAGAAGAAAAAGGGCGCTAATAAAAAGAGTTCGAAGAAAAAGAGTTCTAAGAAAAAAGGATCAAAGAAAAGCTCTAAGGATGGTTCGAGCTCCGGAGGAGACGGGGAAGGTAGCGGGAGCGGCTCGTCGAAGAGAAAGACAAAGGGTTCAAAGAAGCGCTATGCGCGGGGAGACGGCGACGGGTCATCGGGCGACGGAAACGGAGACGGCGAGAGCGGAAGCGACGGAAACGGCGACGGAAACGGCAGCGGGGACGGAGGCGGAGACGGTGGCGACGGAAACGGCAGCGGGGACGGAGGCGGAGACGGTGGCGACGGAAACGGCAGCGGGGACGGAGGCGGAGACGGTGGCGACGGAAACGGCAGCGGGGACGGAGGCGGAGACGGTGGCGACGGAAACGGCAGCGGGGACGGAGGCGGAGACGGTGGCGACGGAAACGGCGACGGAAACGGCAGCGGGGACGGAGGCGGAGACGGAGGAGGAGACGGAGGAGGAGGAAAAAGTTCCAAAAAGAAAGGAAAGAAGAAAAAGTCCTCCTCTGGTTCTCATTCGAAAGGCTCGTCGCATTCGAAAAAGTCTTCTTCTGATGGCGATAATGGCGACGGGGGAGGCGACGGAGGTGGCGACGGGGGCGGCGACGGAGGCGACGGGGGCGACGGTGGTGGCGGCGACGGGGGTGGTGACGGAGGCGGCGACGGAGGCGGCGACGGTGGTGACAGCGGTGATGGTGGTGGTGATGGCGGCAACGGCGGCGACGGAGGTGACGGAGGTGGCGACGGAGGTGACGGAGGTGGCGACGGAGGTGACGGAGGTGGCGACGGAGGCGACGGAGGTGGCGACGAAGGCGACGGAGGTGGCGACGGTGGTGATGGTGGCGGCGACGGCGGCGACGGAGGTGGTGACGGGGGCGGCGATGGGGATGGTGGTGATGGTGGCGATGGCGAGGGATCAGGGTCTACCGAAGGTTCAGGTGACGACGGCGATTACTCCGATATGAATGCTCGGGAGAAGCGGAGTGTTGACGACAGTAACGGGGATGACAGCTACGACGATTATAGCGGGGATGGAGGTGACTATAACAGCGATTTCTCTGGAGACGGAGGGGACGAGTACAGTGATGGAGATTCTAGCGACGACGACTATAGCGAGGGCGACGGTAGCGAGGGTGACTATAACGAAGGCGACTACCCAGATGACGGAAGCACGGAGGGAGATGGGGACCGGAGGCAAAGGGGTTCATCCAACGGCTCAGGATCAAGCAGGCGGAAGAAAGGACGGAGGGGATCGAGCCGTAAAGGGAAGCACGGAAAGAAGGGGAAGCACGGAAAGAAGGGGAAGCACGGGAAGAAAAAGGGCGACTCGTCGCCGCCAATCGCGAGCGATCCGGCCGCCAACTTACCTCCCGTTACAATCGTTCCCCCGTTCACGGTCAAAACCCCCCCGGTAATATCATTCCCGCCGAAGATCACCAATCCGAAACCGGTTGACCCGTCACCAGCACCCCCAGTGGGCCCCCTCATACCCGATAATGTCAACCCGTTACCATTCGATCTCATCCCCGTTCCGCAACGAACAACCACCGACTCGTTTACGCTAAACCCTTTTAAAGGCAGAGTCGCGAGTTTCCCATTAGAGCCCAGTCGAAAGGACCCAAAAGCGAGCTTGATAAAAAAGCCAAAACCGCCAGTGGCAAAGCCGAAAGTGCCGACTCTCCCGCCCAAACCGAAGGTGCCGACGCTGCCGCCCGCACCGACACCGAAGGTGCAGATTCCGCCAACGACGCCGCCGAATGCGGGAGCAGTGGACCCGTCCGATCCGAACAACCCGTTTGCGAGTCCGTTTGACCCGCCGCCCGGCGCGAATGGCCCGTTGACTCCGACTGACCCGATTGACCCGCTGAATCCGCCGTCGCCGTCGCCGCCGGTGGTTGCTCCCAAGCCTTCCCCGCCTCCTGATGATGGTGAGACTCCAGCTTTTTGCCATTTTTTAGTTTTTTTTTTTTCTTCTTTGAATGTGTAGAAATATGTTGACCAAAGAGTAGGTGTGCGCCAATGCCGCCGGTGGTTGCTCCCAAGCCTTCTCCGCCTCCTGATGATGGTGAGGCTCCAGCTTTACCTTTTACCCAGTTTGGTCTATGCTTTGGTGAGGCCCTGTTGTTGCAAGTCCTGATTCCCGTCTCCCTGTACCTTCCGCCTCTCTTCACACCCACCCTCCCCTCCCCCCCCCCCCCCCCCCCCCCCCTCCTCCTCCTCCTCCACCGCCCTCCCCTCCCACCCCTAGGAAGGTTCCTCACCCCGCAGATCCTCCCGAGTCCTACGCAGTCTTTACGCTGATAACCAGAACCAGCACCAGCAGCAAACCATTTTTGAGGCGCCTCAAAAAAATCGTCGCAGTCTTTACGCTGATAACCAGAACCAGCTCCAGCACCAGCAGCAAACCATCTCACCATGTCCCTCGTTCTCTCCCCTCTTCCCTCCCCCATCCCCCCCTGCCCCCTCCACTTTTCCAGGTGCCGGTATCCCCAACACCACCGTCCCACATATGCTCCCCGATTCCCACAACGCCTCAGCCTCAAGCCAAATATCCCTTCCCAAGTCTCACCATTTCTCCCTTGTTTCCTCCCTTCTGTCTCTCTCCCCTGTTTTCCAGGTGCTGGTATCCCGAAGACCACCGTCCCACATATGCTCCCCGATTCCTCGTCTCACCATTTCATTCCCCTCGTCTCATCATTTCCCCCGTGCGCTCGTCTCTTTTTCCCCCTCCCTCTCCCCCCTGCTTTCTTCCTGTTTCCAGGTGCCGGTATCCCCAACACCACCGTCCAGCGAATGCTCCCTGATCCATACAACACTTCAGGCATCATCAAGCCGAAAACCACCACCACCACAACCACAAGCACTGTCATTTACTAATATTTTTCCCATTCCACTACTCTCCCTTGCCCCTTTGTTCCAGGTGCCGGTATCCCCAACACCACCGTCCCTCAAATGCTCCCCGATTCCTACAACACTTAGCCATCATCAAGCCAAAAACCACCACCACCACAACTGCCCCTTCCTCACCCCCCAAAAACTCGGGCGTCAACACTCTGATGGTCGTGCTCATGGTGACGATTCCCCACCCCCGTTTCCCCTTACCCCCCTCCCTCGTCGTCTACTTTGCAGGTACCCACCCTTCCTCACCCCCCAACGACTCGGGCGTCAACACTCTGATGGTCGTACTCATGGTGACAATTCCCTGACCCCGTTTCCCCCGTCTCACCATTTCCCTCCTCTCTTCCCACCTCCCTCTCCCCCCTGCTTTCTTCCTGTTTCCAGGTGCCGGCATTCCCAACACCACCGTCCCGCAAATGCTCCCCGATTCCTACAACGCCTCAGCCATCATCAAGCCGAAAACCACCACCACCACAACCGCCCCTCCCTCTCCCCCGAACGACGCGGGAGTCAACACTCTGATGGTCGTGCTCATGGTGACGATTCCCCTGGGAGCAGCAGCGGTGATTACAATGGGTATGCTGGGGTGGAGTCAGTACAAGAAATGGAGCATGAACGCCCAAGGCCCTGCCACTGCCGGGGGACCAGGGGGTGGGGGCGGTGGGCTTGGTGGCGGGGGGTATGAGACTCTGCGAGGGGGGCCGTTCAACCACTGATGACTGGGGGGGGATGGGGTCATGCAACGATGGGTGTGGGTGGGAGTGGGTGTGGGTGGATGGGCGATGAGAGTCTGCAAATGGGGATTCCTGGGACTCTTGACCCAATAATAGCACAGGTAATGGGGGTTTAGTATGAGTGCGTGAAACACGGCACTGAAATTGCTCTGAATACAAAACACTGCAGTGCAGGTGTAGTAGGTGTTGGGTAGAATTTAAGGGACAAACAGGTTGTCTTGTATGACATCTGAAAAGTCTGTAGACAAGCTGATGTGCGATACATACATCATACCGGTATCAACAATTTACTCTTGAGAATACCATGCTCCTGCAGATTCTACTGATCCTCATCAGTGCAGCTTAAAAATCACCATAGATGCTAGCATATTCTAGTTGCAACAATTACATTGTTGGGTTGAGAAGGGAGCCCTTAGGATCTTTGCAGGACTAAACTCCTGGTAGGACTGATGTAATAGCGGAAGAAGTTAATGAAAGGTTGTGAACCACCTTGCGCTGGTGTGTGAGGGCTAAGTAGATTGATTAATAACAAGAGATACAAGCTTTTATAAGAGTACAAGGGAATATAAAGGGTTATAGCTAATAACTGTTTTACTACCGTATTGCTGTTGCGGTTCGATACAGTGACGACTCGGGCAACTGCTCAATAGCGGGTCAGTTGTTTGTCCTTGCTGTCGCGCTGTACTTGTCAGGTCAAAGGTCGCTGACCTTCGACTTTCGCCTAACCTCCAGCAGTTGTTCAACCTCCGAGGGTTGACTCGCTGATGCTTCGATATGTTTCGCTTCGCTTCTGACTTGGTGTTTCGACACGACAGAGGCGCATAAGTTACTTGTTTCCAACACTCCCCTTCGCTTTTGGAGTGTCGCTGCTGGTGATGTGGCTCTGTCCAGTCAGCAGCATGCAGTACTCAAACTTCTGTTTTCCGAGTTTCTTGGTCAAGTAACCAGCTGCCATCTCGGACGTGGGGCAGTAGGATAATTCGAATCTCCCCTTCTCGATCTCGTCCTTTACGAAGAAATATCGCAGGGCGATATGCTTCGTCCTGTTCGCGAATCCGTTTTTGTTGGCTATGCGAATTGCCGGCTGGTTGTCGTAGAACAGACTGAAGCTGGGTATCTGAGCCAGCTTCGCTTCCTCCAAGAGTTCGCGAAGGTACGATCCTTCCTTGGTGGCTGAGCAGAATGCGATATATTCTGCTTCAGCTGAGGAGAGAGCGATTAATTCCTGCTTACTCGACAGCCACGAGATAGGTCCGATAGGCTCGAGGCGGTAGATGTAGCCTGTGCGCAAGCGCCTGTTGTCAGAATCTCCGGCGTGGTCGGCGTCGACGTAGCCGATTAACTTAGGCGTTGTAGTTCCATTCTTTAGTAGGTTAGGCCGATCGTTAGAGTGCTAACGAGGTAGTGAAGAGCGCGGTCGAGCTCCGCCATATGTTCAGCTTCAGGCCTTTTAAGGTAGGTGGCGAGATGACTTGCAGAGTATGATAGGTCCGGCGGCAGGTGACAGCCGCGAAGAGAAGGCATCCCAGCTTCCTCTGGTAGTCGCGTATCTCGGCAGGCTTGAGTGGAGTGGAGCCTTCCTTGTGATTTCTTGTCGTGTAGCGGTATGGCGTGGAGATGGTGGTCGGCGTGAGTGCGAAGCGTTTGGCGATAGTGTCGGCGTATTTTGCGGCGTTGAGGTAGATCGCGCTTTCTTCTTCCTGGATGTTGAGGCCGAAGTACTGCGTGACGGTAGATGAGACTGTAAGCATGAGATCTTTCTGTAGCTCCCCTTCGAACCAGGTAGTGACGTTGTCGGTCGACCCGATGTAGAGTAGATCGTCTACGTAGACGATTAGTAGAATATAGTCGTCGCCTTTCGTGAGCCGGTACATGCCCTGGTCGTGCGGTAGCTGCCGGAATCCGATGCGAATAAGTCGAGCATGTAGGTACTGCTGCCACAGTCTCGGGGCCTGTTTGATGCCGTACAATAACTTCAGCAGCTGACAAACGTGATTAGGTTCTCCGTTGGAGCCATGTGGTAGTTCGACGAAGATTTCTGCGTCGACAGGTGCGTAGAGGAATGTGTTGGCGACGTCAATTTGCCGTAGCTTTTTCTTCTTCATGGCGGCGATTGCGAGGATGATTTGTAGTGAGGTGTGTCGGCTGACCGGGGCAAATGTCTCGGTGAAGTCGCGTCCATGTTCTTGGTCGAATCCGCGTATGACCAAGCGCGCTTTAAACTTGTCGATGGTGCCGCCTGCCTTTGTCTTCACACGGAAGACCCATTTCCCGGTGAGTACTGTCTTGTTTTGTGCCACGCCGATGGGAACAACTTTCCAGGTGTTCCATTCTTCCAGTGCTTTCAGGTCCTTGTCCATGACTTCGCGCCATTTTTCCCTACGCTCCCCCCCCAGAGCCTGCTGAACCGTGGCAGGGTCCTTAGGAACGTTCGTGCCGTGGACAGTGGTGATGAGGCCGAGTATCTGGAGGCCACTCTGTTTGTAGCGGGGGAGTGTTAAGTCCGCGGGATAAGCTGCTTCGTCACCTGATTCTGGGTCAAGTATGAAGTTGGGCCCTATGCGTTCTGCTTCGTTGGTGTTGACTTCTGCAGGTATAACGTAGCCGTTGTCGGCGAAGTGGTAAAATACTTCGGCGTTGGCGCTTTCGCGAGGATTTTCGTCATCCATTGGGACGTCGACGGAGCAGTAAGGGAGAGGTCCGGCTGTCGGAAAATATAATTTAATATTTTCTATATGTAACTGCCTGTAGGATTGGTTACTGTAGTTATAGCGTTTTCCTATTTGGTGGTGCACCTTTCTTGCTTGTTCTTTCATATTTGTACCCTTGAACCTATAGTGAAACCCTCATTCTCTCGACACTTTTCCTTCAACTCGAACTCAACTTCTCCTACCTCACTAGCCATGGCTCCTAAGCCTCGCTAGATTCTTAACATGGTATCAGAGCGATAGGTCCTGGCCTGTGGACCCGCCCCATTGCTTCCGCTGCTACTCTGTGTTCGGCACGCCCCGTGGCGTGCCCCTTAACCTTCTCTTCGCGGCCCCGTTGCCGCCCTTTCAGGCCCCTCGCGGCCCCTTCGCGGCCCCGTCGCCGCCCTTCCGCGGCCCCGTCGCCGCCCTTTCAGCGGCCCCGTCGCCGCCCTTTCAGCGGCCCTGTCGTCGCCTGCCCTTCAGCAGGCCCCGCTACGGCCCCGCTCCGGCCCCGCTTAGGCCCCGCTACGGCCCCGCTACGGCCCCGTCGCCCACCTGCGGCCCCGTCGCCACCTGCGGCCCCGTCGCCCGCTGCGGCCTCGTCGCCACCTGCGGCCCCGCCACCTGCGGCCCCGTCGCCACCTGCGGCCCCGCCCTTCCGCGGCCCCGTTGCCGCCCTTTCAACGGCCCCGTCGCCGCCCTTTCAGCGGCCCCGTCGTCGCCCGCCCTTCAGCAGGCCCCGCTACGGCCCCGCTATGGCCCCGCTCCGGCCCCACCTAGGCCCCGCTACGGCCCCGCTACGGCCCCGTCGCCCACCTGTGGCCCCGTCGCCACCTGCGGCCCCGTCGCCCGCTGCGGCCCCGTCGCCACCTGCGGCCCTGCCACCTGCGGCCCCGTCGCCACCTGCGGCCCCGTCGCCCACTTCGGCCCCGACGCCACCTGCGGCCCCGCCCACTTGCGGCCCTGACCCCGCCCCGGCCATGCCCCGTCGCCAGCCGCGGCACACCGGGGGCACGTGCACCGCCCCCCCCCCCTTTTCCCGTCACCTGTCGAGGCGACCTGAGGGGGCCGCACCTGGAAGGGGGGGGCAGGCGTCGCCCCCTCTGCCGCCTGCTTTGGCGCCCGAGGAGGCCGTGCGTCGCCCCCCCCCCCCCCCCTTTCCCCCCCCACCCCCCCCCTTCCCCCTTCTCCTTCGTCTCCCTGCAGCTGCAGGGGGGAGGGTCTGGGGGTGGCGGGTGTGGGTGGTGTGTTTCCCTTCCCCTCCTCCTCCTTTCGTTCCCACTGCTATAGCTGCCGCTGGGGGGGAGGGTGTGAGGGTGTGGGGGGAGGGTCTGGGGGTAGCGGGTGTGAGTGGTGTCTTTCCCTTCCCCTCCTCCTCCTTTCGTTCCCACTGCTGCAGCTGCCGCTGGGGGGGGAGGGTGTGAGGGTGTGGGGGAGCCAGGGGAGTGGTATTATTGAAACACTTTTCTCCTCCTGCGCAATCGTGATGTACCCCTTCAGAGGGCGCTAACTACATACTCATCTCCTACAGCCAGTTATGGGGGCGTGTGGGAAAATATAATTTAATATTTTCTATATGTAACTGCCTGTAGGATTGATTACTGTAGTTATAGCGTTTTCCTATTTGGTGGTGCACCTTTCTTGCTTGTTCTTTCATATTTGTACCCTTGAACCTATAGTGAAACCCTCATTCTCTCGACACTTTTCCTTCAACTCGAACTCAACTTCTCCTACCTCACTAGCCATGGCTTCTAAGCCTCGCTAGATTCTTAACACCGGCTTCCTCCGAGGCTGCATCCACGTTCTGCTCGTCCCAGTCAGCTTCGTCTTCTGCCGAGGCGAAGGCTTGGTCACGACGGAAACCACCTGTGGGGTCCCGATCTTCTTCCAGGTTGGCAAGGTACGTCGGAAGGGTGAGTCGTTCGTAGAAAATGACATCACGTGCTGCTACTATTTCCTTGGAGTGGACGTCGAAAATCTCCCACGCGTTGTAATTTCTTTCGATGCCCAGGTGTAGTCCCCACTGTGCGCGTTGGGAAAATCGCCCGGCTCGTGCAGATGGGGGTCGGTACTGTACCATGCAGCCGAAAACTCTTAACATTTTTGTGCTGCCCTGTTTTCCTGTCCACAGCAAATGCGGTGATGCGTTGTTCGGGAGCGATGATGACGAGAGCAAGTTGTGCAGCATGACACCGTGGTCCATTGTTTCGGGCCACTGGTGGTTGGGCAGTCGCATGCCTCGTAGCAGTTTGCGCATGGTGTTCTGGAGAATCCTGTTCATCCTTTCTGCTGCGCCTTGCTGCTGGTGAGCAGGGAAGAGAGATGAGCCTCTTGATCCCTCTTTCTGCCAAGTACTGCTTGAACCTCTGTGAGGTGTATTCTCCTCCCCCGTCTGACTGGAAGCTTTTTAGTTTCACGCCTGATTCTCGTTCTGCTACTGGGAGCCAAGCGACAAAGGCCTCGAAGGCCATGTCCTTGCTCGGTAGGTTAAGGTGCCAAACGTAACGCGTAGCGGCATCGATGAACGTGATGGTGTAGCTGTATGCTCCTTGTCCAGGTTCGCGGTTGTACAGGATGTCGCTGTACACTTTCTCGAGTGGTGCGTAAGCTGGTGCGCTGGGATTGTGGTGAGAAGTGAACGGCCGATGTGGTGAGTCAGATTCGGGGCAGGTAAAGCACGTTCCGCGAGCTCGTCGAAGTTCGCTTCCGTCGGTTAGGAGCAGTGAATCTTTATCGAGCACGCCTGCTCTGATTGTGTTGTTTAAAACCGTGTTGCTTGGATGTCCCATTCGTGCGTGCCAGATGTCTTCGCCAACTCGATGTTCGGGTGAGCGACGGTATAGGTCGGAGTTGGAGTAGAAGCTTGCGGTGAGGTTTGCGCTTCGATGTACTTCTCGTGGTGTTGGGTTCAATTGCTGCGCAGGAGTCGGTGGAGTGCCGTCGTCGATTATAGCCGGTGCAGTTGAAGGACCCGCGATTGGTGCCGATGTTGTTTCTGCTGCTGCCGATGTTGTCTCTGCTGCTGCCGATGTTGTATCTGCTGCTGCCGATGTTGTCTCTGCTACTGCCGATGTTGTCTCTGCTGCTGCCGATTAAATTGTTGCTAATGCTCTTGTTCTTTCTGCTTCAGGGATGGTGTGCGAGTACCAGAATCCTTTGGGACTGATCTGGTGGGTGTGTCCAGGAGGTGAAGGTGACAATTCCGTCGCTGTCAGCTATGCCGAGATCTGGGACGAAGTCGAGGACGAAGGCGTTATTCTTCAGGACTGCCTTGCCGATGTAAAAACCTCCTCTCCCGTGGTACAACTTGAACTCCTGTGCTGTGCTATCTGCTTCAAGGTGGATGCATTTCGCCATCAGTTGACTGACACTCAGTAAGTTGTAGCTGAGTCCCTCCGCAATTAACACTTTTGACATTTGCAGTATTACGTTTGTCTTTTGTGACTGAAGTTGCACCACACCTTGTCGTCGTGTGCGCAGGTTCTGGTTGTTGGCGACGGTGATGACGACTTCGCGTTGAAGTTGGTGTTCACGTTGAACAAATCGTACTGAAGAGCACATGTGCTGTCCGCAGCAGCTGTCCAAGAACCAGGTATCTTTTCCGAATGGCTCGCTTTGGGCGATGGCTGCATACGTCGGGTTTGGTTGAAGTGACTCGCGGCGATGCGTGTGTCAGAGGTCCACTGGAGATCCCCGATTGATCATAGGGAAGGGTTACAGGCACGTTGGCCTGGGGGGTTATGGGCGCACTGACTCGCTACTTAACAAGCCCTTTTATCCCAATGGTCAAGTGGTTGGGATTCTGACTTGTTATCAGAGCGAAGGTCTCGGGTTCGAATCCCAGTGTATGCACCTCGGGCATCTCAGAGCAGGGGGGTGTCAGAGGTCCATTGGAGATCCCCGATTGATCCTAGGGAAGGGTTACAGGCACGTTGGCCTGGGGGGTTATGGGCGCACTGATCCGCTACTTAACAAGCTCTTTTATCCAAATGGTCTAGTGGTTGGGATTCTGACAGCGTGCTGTTGTCGAGTTGCTCTTCCGGTGAGAAATGCGGTGGTGACTCTGTGATGCAGGAGTCGGTCAGTCGTGCCATGCAGCTGACGATGTTTCTTGTTCCTTGCGCAGATTGTCCCGTCGATGTTGTTGAAGCTTGTACTTGAGTGGTCGGATTCGCTTGCGTTGAGGCGACTTGACTGCTTGAAGGGCGAAGCGGCCGCTGCGTTGGCGTTGACTGCTGCCGGTTTGGGCAGTGTGTACGGGGGTGACCTGACGTCTTACAAAGGTGACAGAACAGAGGTACTGGTTTGGGTTGATGCCGGTTGTTGTTGTTGTTGTTGTAGCACCGTTGAGTGTGGAATGCGAATTCTGGCACTGATGCCTTCCTCTTGTGTCGTTCTTCTTGCAGGTCCATATCTTGCTGCTCAGCGTGGATCTCGGCGCAGAGTGTTGCTTCTGCTATTCTTCCGTGAGCTCGGAGTATGGCGCGAGTGGAGCGCCACTGAGGACCGAGGCCGCCGATGATGACTGTGACGAAGGCGTCTTTTGAAATCGACCCTCCGCATCGAAGGAGTTTGTTGCGCAATTCGCGACAGCGGCTGATATACGCCATCCCCTTTTCGTCCGGTTTCATTTCGACTGTTGTCAGTTGCGCCATTAACCGACTTTGATTGACGCTGTCTGTTGCTTGATATAGGTCCTTCAGGTGGTTGTACACGAGCTCTGCAGAGTTGCCGTATCCTCGGTAAGACCGTATATTCTGCTGCTGATTCGGAGTGATGTTTCTCAGTAGTATTGTGTACGCCATCATTGACTGATATGTGTATTGCTGCTTGTCGTACTGTGTGCCGTGTGTTGGGTATGGCAGGGACCCGTCGAAGAAGCCAAGAATCTGCGCGCCTTCCATCATTAGTTCGAATTCAAACGACCAGGTAAAGAAGTCTTTCCCGTCGAAAGGCATTGACGTTTGCATTTTTAAGACGTGCGCGAACTGCGGCTGAACTTGAAGTGCGTCCAGTGTCTTCTCTTGTCCAGGTGCAGGCTGCGGGTGTGGCATAAAGCTTACGGAGCCACGCTGGGGCTCGTACGGAGCAAAGGTAGGCTGCTGCTGTTGATTTCCGCGTGCGTAGGATGAGCCGTCGAGGCTCATGGGCGTCACGTCGTTGTTGTTGTTGCTGTTGTTTGACTGCGCAGGTGCAGACTGCTGGTGTTGCTCGTAGAAGGACATGAAGGAGAAGAACTTCTCCATCATGTTCTGGTCGAAGTCTGCAGGTTTATTCGCAGGAGTTTCAGTGGACCCTGCTGCTGGTCTTGTCGCCGTGCCCTGCTTTGTCTGTAGGCCAGAGGCAGGAGGTGGAGTAGGGGTAGTGCCGAGAGAACCATTAGAGGAACTCCTTTCCTTCTGAGTAGCCATGCTTTCTGGTGTTGTAGGTGTCTTGATAGTGGAATTTGTCCTGATAGCTCTCATACCATGTTGGGCTGAGAAGGGAGCCCTTAGGATCTTTGCAGGACTAAACTCCTGGTAGGACTGATGTAATAGCGCAAGCGTCTAATGAAAGGTTGTGAACCACGTTGCGCTGGTGTGTGAGGGCAAAGTAGATTGATTAATAACAAGAGATACGGTACAAGCTTTTATAAGAGTACAAGGGAATATGAAGGGTTATAACTAATAACCGTTTTACTATTGCTATTGCGGTTCGATACAGTGACGACTCGGGCAACTGCTCAGTAACGAGTCAGTTGTTTGTCCTTGGTGTCGTGCTGTACTTGTCAGGTCAAAGGTCGCTGACCTTTGACTTTCGCATAACCTCCAGCAGTTGTTCAACCTCCGAGGGTTGACTCGCTGATGCTTCGATATGTTTCGCTTCGCTTCTGACTTGGTGTTTCGACACGATAAAGGCGCTTAAGTTACTTGTTTCCAACATACCTAACCCAGTTCTCAATCATAAGCTAAAGGTTACGGTAGTAAACACACTTTGGTTCCCATTTCAACCATCACTCATTGTCGTCTGAAGACTCATCTCATCTGAAATCGCTCTCGAAGTTAGACTCGTCCAAACGCGTTTAGTGTAGTTACAGAGCAGTATGAAAGTGTATAAAATGACACAAAACTGTCACTCATGATCGTCGTCTGAAGACTCATCGCTGAAATTACTCTCTAAGTCAGACTCGTCCAAGCACATTCAGTGTAGTTACAAAGCAGTATGAAAGTGTATAACACGACACAAGAACCGTCTGTCTGTCACTCATCATCATCGTCTGAAGACGCATCACTGAAATCGCTTTCAAAATCAGACTCGTCCAAATCAAGCTGTTGGGGGGGGGGAATGGGGGGTGATGGGGGGAAATGGGGGTGGTGGAGGTGGGGGGAAAAGGGATGAACCGCTTCCAAAGCCAGACTCGCCCAAATCAAGCTGTTGGGGAGGCGATGGGAGAGACGGGGGGGTGTGTGTCGGGGGGGAAGTGTGCCTGAATCTCACTTGTACCTGCACGTGTGCCACTTGGAAAGTCCCGGAGCAGCAGGAGCAGCAGGGGGAGCAGGGGGAAGAGGTAAAGCCACAGCAGCGCTGCACAGACACACGACACTAACACAGAGGGCCCAACCCAAGGCTGAATCTCACTCGTACCTGCACTTGAAATGTCCCGGAGCAGCAGGAGGAGGAAGGACAGCTGCTGCTACAGCAGCAGCAGGAGCAACAGCAACAGCAACAGCACCGAACACAGGACACTAACACAGGGGACCCAAGCCAGGCCTGATTCTGAAAATTTCACTCGCACCTGCACGTGTGCCACTTGAAACGTCCCAGGAGCAGCAGGAGCAGCCGGAGCAGGGGGTAAGGCCACAGCAGCAGCAGCAGCACCACCACCACGCACACCTGCCCCTGCTGCTCTTTCCTTTCCTGCTGCCCCTTCTTTCCCTTCCCCTGCCACTGCTGGCGGCCGGATAACACCTTCCCCAGGTCCCACCACCATGCCAGCCACAGCAACAGCAGCGGCAGCAGGCACGCTCGGGGGAGGTACATCTGAGGGAGGTACACCTGCTGCCACTGGCAGGGGCACAGCAGGGGCGCCTGGTAAGGGGAGGGGTATGGGGTCTCCGGGTTTCCACCCTGCAGGCATGGTCGGAAGGGCGGGCAGGGGTGCGGCTGGGGGAATGGATGGAGTAGGAGCAGCAGCAGCAGCAGCAGCAGCGCCAGCAGCAGCAGCAGCAGAAGGAGCAGCAGGAGTGGCCGCAGCAGCAGAAGGAAAAGTGGCAGCGGTGGGAAGGGTTGGGAGGGGGTCTCCAGGTTTCCACCCCGGAGGAGGGGGAGGGAGGGGGAGGGGATCTCCTGGTCTCCACCCAGCCGGCATAGGTGGGGGTACCCCTGCTGCTGCCCCTCCTGCTGCTGCTTTTCCTGCTGCAGCGGCGGCGGCGGCGGCAGCAGCAGCAATGTCTGGAAAGGAAGGGAGGGGGTCTCCGGGTTTCCACCCCGGAGGAGGGGGAGGCAAGCCCACTGGCACCCCTTTTCCTCCTCCTCCTCCTGCTCCTGCTGCTGCTGCCGCCGCCGCCGCCGCCGCTGCAGCAGCAGAAAAATCAGCCTCGCCTGATCTCCCTGCCGCCTTCCCAGCAGCAGCAGCAGCGGCAGTGGGAGTAGGCCGGGGACTGATAGGCTTCGATTCCCCTCCTTCCACCCCACCAACCCCACTTCTCCTCTCCTTCCCTCTCTCCTTTCCACTCTCCTTTTCCCTCTTCTTCTCCTTCCGGATAATCCCAAGGGCCTTCTCATCAGTACAGTGATACAGAAGTGACATTCTAAGCTGCTCATCCTGAGGTGCAGGGGGAAGGGCGGCGAGGAGAGGTGCACCTAGGGCGTGTTCGGGTGGCGCGAAGGTCGTGTAGCTGATGCGATGCGCGAATGCGATGAGCTGGCGAACAGAGACAGGCGCCACTTCGTCCCAGCCCAAAGGTTTGAATGATTCTTGCTGCTGCTGCTGCTGCTTTCGTTGCTGAGAACGAGAACGAGAGCGCGAACGGGAGCGCGAACGAGAGCGAGAAGGGGAACGAGAAGGAGAACGAGAGGCAGAACCTTTTTGTTTCTTTTGTCGCTGGAGAGAAGGAGAGCGCGAATGAGAGCGGGAGCGAGAGCGAGAACGGGAACCAGAAGGAGAACGAGAGGCAGGCCCTTTTTGTTTCTTTTGTCGCTGGAGAGAAGGAGAGCGCGAAAGTGAACGCGAACGAGAGCGAGAGCGAGAACGAGAAGGGGAACGAGACCCAGACCCTTTTTGTTTCATGCTCTTTCTCTTCTCCTTTGCTCCTTTCTCAGCCTTCTCTCCCAAACCAGCCTCCCCCTGCTCCCTCTTCTCCTCTACCCTGCTTCCCCCTGCAACCCCTTTCTCCTCCTCCCCAACCTCCCTCAACCCCTCTTTCCCCTCCCCAACCCCCCCCTTCGACCCTGCTCTGCCCCCCTCTCCTAGCAGCTTGAAGCCTTTGTGTTCATCCAGCACAGCCAGAAGCAGCTGCTCTGCTTCCCTCGCTCTCCGCCCAAACTCCCTTAAAGCCTCGTTCGTTCGCCCCAGCTCCTCTCTCATCTTCGCGTGCTTCTCCTCCCCTGACTGGCTTTCATTCGCCGCCCCGACCTTGTCTCTCATGCCTGCTTTGTGCTCTTCCATACCCTGACAAGCAATGGGACGGGCGGACGGGAAGGAGGAACGTGTTTTGAGGCACCTCAAAACCCGATCTTGTCTCTCATGCCTGCTTTGTGCCCTTCCATACCCTGACAAGCAATGGGACGGGCGGACGGGAAGGAGGAACGTGTTTTGAGGCACCTCAAAACCCGATCTTGTCTCTCATGCCTGCTTTATGCTCTTCCATACCCTGACAAGCAATGGGACGGGCGGACGGGAAGGAGGAACGTGTTGTGAGGCACCTCAAAACCCGATCTTGTCTCTGCACAGCCAGCAGCAGCTGCTCTGCTTCCCTCGCCCGGCGCCCAAACTCCCTTAAAGCCTCATTGGTTCGCCCCAGCTCCCCTCTCATCTTTGTTTTTCTCTCTTCACCTCTCTGCTCCTCATTGTGTCCTTCCATGCTTGGCTTGCGACCCTGCAGGACAGTAAGAGGGGCGGGGGTGGAGGAGAGGCGGAGGGGAAGGAGGGACGTGTGGTTGATTGCCCTGCTCTGCACTGCTTTTCTCTTCACCTCCCTTGCCTTCTGACCCTGGAGGACAAGAAGAGGGGCGGAAGGAAGGGAAGGAGTTGGTTCGCCCCAGCTCCTCTCTCATCTTTGTTTTTCTCTCTTCACCTCTCTGCTCCTCATTGTGTCCTTCCATGCTTGGCTTGCGACCCTGCAGGACAGTAAGAGGGGCGGGGGGGGAGGAGAGGCGGAGGGGAAGGAGGGACGTGTGGTTGATTGCCCTGCTCTGCACTGCTTCTCTCTTCACCTCCCTTGCCTTGTGACCCTGGAGGACAAGAAGAGGGGCGGAAGGAAGGGAAGGAGTTGGTTCGCCCCAGCTCCTCTCTCATCTTTGTTTTTCTCTCTTCACCTCTCTGCTCCTCATTGTGTCCTTCCATGCTTGGCTTGCGACCCTGCAGGACAGTAAGAAGGGCGGAAGGGAGAAAAGGAGGGAAAGGAAACGTAATCAATTGCTCCGCTCTGCTCCCCTCGCCCTGAGCCCAAACTCCCTTAAAGCCTCATTGGTGCGACCCAGCTCCTCTCTCGTCTTCGCTTTCCTCTCTTCACCTCCCTCCTCCCCTGTCTTGTGCTCCTCCATGCTTGCCTTGCGACCCTGCACAGCAAGAGGGAGAGGGGCGGAAGGGAAGGAGGGAGGGGACATGTAATCGTTTGCTCTGCTCGGCTCTGCTTCCCTCGCTCTGCTTCCCTCGCCCGGCTCCCACACTCCCTCAAAGCCTTGTTATCTGCCTCGTGAGGAAAAATGTCGCTGAGGTGAGGAGAGCAGAAAGCGAAATGGCTAGAAGGGAACGTGGAGGGAGGAGAAGGGAATAACGCACCCTAATTGAGCTGATCAACGCTCTTACCCAGACGAGCTTTGGGGTGCCTTATAATGAGGTGACTTTTGAATCGACTCAAAAGTCACCCCAATTGAGCTGACCAATGTTCCTACCCAGACGACATTTGAGGTGCTTCATAGTGAGACGAGCTTTGAGCTCCTCAAAACCTGTGGACGGAAAAGGGGAATCACGCACTCTACCTGAAATAATGAGGGTTCGTACCTAAACTGGAAGAAAACGCGGAGGAGAGAAGAAAACGCCCTGTTCAGGCTCCTTCCGTTTCAGGCCTCCTCCGTTGCGACATTAATCGTTGGGCCTCCTTCCGTTGCGAGCCCCTTCCGTTTCAAGCTCCACTACTATCAGAAATTACAAGTGGCGATTCGAACACCCTATCCCCGTTAATGGCAGTACCGGGGTGTGAGATGTGCCAAGGCGAAGAGTTACTGCACGGAGGGGTGTGGACCGAAACGGCGTAACCCTAAACACCGAGTTGGCTATTTCGCCGTCGCCGCTTTTACCGCAAATGCACCTCCTGCTAGCGAATAGGGAGCAGCTCGAAGACTGGTACGGTGGAATCCCAGAATCCAAAGTCTGCACGAGTAGCAAGCGACCCAGTGAGAGTGAGTTTTCTGGGGACAATCGAGGCGCGTCTTTCGGTGTTCTGGGATTTCAGTAAAGACGTTCAAACCAGGGGAAATTTTATCAGGGTAAATCACCTTGATACCCTGATAATCAGGGTGGTTTTTGGGGGTCACACTGATGGCCCCGGGTAATTTTTTTAGGAGCTAGTTTTACCATGATGAACCAGGGTTTACATTTATGTCACACTGATGCATAAGGGTGCCCGGATCCCATAACGAGTTTTACCCTGAAACGAGTACTCTATTCCCCCCCTCGCCCCCAGTACCCCCAACCCACCTTTCCCGTAACTCTGGAATCCCGATTGCCAAGTGTAGATGCCTGATTTTAGGCCTTGACAGCGCATGTGCTGGCACACATTGGGCCACCATTGGCCAGGCTTACAGTTTCTTTGCATTGAGTTTGTTTTTTATGAACACTGATGCGCCAGGGTATATTTTCCCAAAACGGGGAAAACCCTGATGGGAAAGTTTTTTCACAAGGAGTCACACTGATAATCAGGTTTTTGAGCCTGTGCCACACTGATCGTAAGGGTAGGCCAAATCCAAAAGTTCGAACTTCAAGCTGTAATTTTGCGCGTTGATACTAGACACCTCCATAGAGTTTTGAGTTTCGACGACGGATCCACCTTCATTTTCATTTCTATTTGTTTTCATTGTACCTCAGAAAGCTTTTCAACACTGGACAAGCATCACATTCATACTGAATCAAACACATTTGGAAACAAAAAACAAAGCATAAAATTATAATGACTCAGATGTGAACACAATAAGCACGACACCACCCATCTCCTTACCCATGTCATGTGGGGAACGATGGAGATAGGTAGCTGAAACCAAAGTAGAACACGACAGTGTTGAGAAAGGCAACCATTTTGTGTTGAGTCAGGAGCACTTTACTCCACAGAGTCAACCTCCACCTTCTTCCACTCCTCCCCATTCCTGTCACTACCCAGTTGCTGTGCTTGTCAGCTCGCGCAAGACATGTGGTAACCTGTGAGGATGGGCCTCAATCCTACCTCCTCCACCTTCTCCTGCTCCTCCTGCTCCTCCTGTTTAACAACTGTTTAACAACTTCCCAGATCCTGTGCCTGTGCCAGCCAGCTCACAACCCATGAGGGTTGTGACTCTGTCTAAGAAGGATTTGATTCACCCTGAAAATGCACCCTCTTCCGCTCCACCTTCCTTCTCCTGCTCAAGTTTCTGCACCTCTGCTTGTCTGACACTACCACTCCTCATTGCTGCTGCGGCACCCCAACTGCACCCTCGGCTTATTTCGAGTCCGCTTATGAATGAGGAGCCTCATGCACGCTCACACTTATTGTGAAACCCTCGAAAGCCGTTACTCGGTGCAAGCTTGAACTTGCACCCTCGTTTCAGGTACATGTACTAAGGATTTAAGGTACCGGCAATGCTGCACCTTCCCTACCGCCAACCAGGCACAACAATGCTGTACCTTCTCTACCCTCCAAGGGCAGGAAGGGCAGCTTATGGAATCCTGCCCTTCCTTCCCTCCCTACCACACTGCAATTGCTCTTCCCCTCTCCACTGCTCAGACCTGTTCCAACCAAGCATGACCATGCTGTACCACTTATGAAGTCCTCCTGCTCTTCCCACCCTCCCTACCACACTGCAGTTGCTCTTCCCCTCTCCACTGCTCCGCCGTGCTCCTCTGCCCCTCTGCTCCCTAAACCACACTACTGATGCTGCGCCTCCACTGTCACTCTCTGCTACTAATGTGTTCAGAGCGTCATTTCAATGCTTGCTCAAGCGAATCTGGGCCATGCTCGGGCAACCGTATTGAACCCCTTGGTACTGCCTCTCACCTGCTCCAACCCCTGATCGGAGCAGCAGTAGCATCAGTAGGCAGAGAGCTGTTACTAGCTCTTTGCCACTCAAACCCATGAGCACCCCTCAGTACCCCTACTTAATCATTCGGAGGAGGCAGGGACGGAGAACTGCTTGCTTGTTGTGCTGACCCCCCTACTCCACACCATGACAGCAGCAGCAGTATCAGGAGAATGATTCCCACTATCGCCACAAGCGCCGTTACTAGCTCTCTGCCATTCAAACCCATCAGCACCACTGCTCCTCCCTCACTCTCCTCCCCATCAGACTCCCCTACTCCCCCTTTCCCTCCAGCTTTCGATCTCGACCGTCGCTTCTTCCGGTGCAGCGACAGCTGCCAGCCGAAAACCAGCCGTTGATTCTCGCCTGCGTCGTCATCGTGAGCAGATCCCTGCCGTTGATCATCCTCCTCTTCTTCCTCTGCTAGCCGTTGAGCCGGCCAATGGGCGTTCATCTGAGCGACCTGGCTGTTGTTTAATTGCAGAAGACCCTGGGAAAGGGGAGGCAGGGAAGGGGGAAAGGCAGGGAAGGGGAAAACGCAGGGAATAGCATGGAACATATGAGGAACGTGTAGGATTCAGGCAAAGGCAGTTGGTTCACTGGGCCAATGGGCGTTCATCTGAGCGGCCTCGCTGTTGTTTAATTGCAACAGAACCTGGGGAGGGGCAGAGTGGGACGAGAGATGGGATGGGCGAGGGACAGAGAGAACGTGTAGGGAAGGAGAGCATTAGAAGTAGTAGTAGGAGTGCATGAACGCTAAGAGGCGTAACTTCCCAGGCGGAAGGGGGAAACAATGAATCGCCAATATACCCGAGGAAAAATCAGGGAAAAGAAACAACAGAAGGAAAAAAAAAGGAAGGGGAAACTAACCAGTTCCATTTCGGCCATGTCCACACGTCCGTCGAGCAGCAGCCTCCCCGAACCCATCGTCTCCTTCTCGCCATACCCCCCCTTACCAGCCACCCCGCCCGCTCCCCCTCCTGCTGCCCCACCTTCCCCCGGTCTTTGAATATGCTTTAGCCAGTAAACAAGGCACTGCCATGACGGTTGTTGCTGCTCCCGCCCGCGCCGCCACCGCCGCTGCTGCTGCTGCCCCCACCACCCGCCCCTGCTGCCGGTTGCGCCTCCCCCGGTTGCGCCTCCCCCGAATAGCGGTGCGTGCTCCGAATCGGAGTGCTCACGACCCAATCGTGATCCCCCCAAATGCGAATGGCTCAGATGTGACCCGCCTAAGTCAGCCCCGAATGTTTTTTGTGACGTCTCAAACGCCCCAGTAGCACCAGAGGACCCGTTAATAGCACATGCACTAAGGCTGGCGATGTCCTCGTCTTCGTCACTGAGTGAAACCCTAATCGCTTCCTGCCGGACCCGCAGCCAATCGTCGGCCGCCACGTCAGCATTGCCGCTGGCATCTAGGGCTCTGGTAGGGCTGCCGGCGATCCAACGGCTAAAGGAGGACACGGCGGAGGCGGAGGAGGAAAAGGCGGCTACCGCTGCGCCTGCTGCTGCGCCTGCCGCTGCGCCAGCTGCCGCCGCTGCTGCTCCTGCCGCTGCGCCTGCCGCCGCGCCTGCAGCCGCTGCTGCTGCGGCCACTGCACCAGCAGCACCTGCTGATTCTATAATGTCCAACTCAGCAGAATGGGAAGCTGCTGTAGGAGGGGGAAACGACGAGCTCGCTAGCACTGCGGGCGCGGAACCTACGGCTGAAACTCTGGCTGATTTTCGACAAGGACTTCCGTTGTTATCCCCGATATTGTCGGCCCCACTACAGGAGCTAGTTGCGCCACTGACGCTGCTGCCGCTGCTGACAATCGTGAAACTGCTACTGCTGCCGCCGCTGCTGCTTCTGGAAGCAGCGACACGTGGCGGCGTGAGAAAGGCCGCGAGGCGACTGTCCAATGAGCTGTTGCTGCAGCTGCCGCTGCTTACGTCAGCGGCACGGAAAGATGAAGGAGAGACGAAAGCAGGGTTACCATCAGTTTCAGTAGAAGCAACAGCTGCTGCTGCTGCTCGGCTAGACGCGTTAGAAGCGGCCGCTGCCAAACCGGACGGAAAAGCGACTGTTATTCCACCGGAATCCACGCCGCTAACCGCGCTACTACTTCCGACCGAAGACCCGGACGCGACGGCTGTATCTGCGGCAGCCGAGGAGGCGCCGATCGCGGGGCGGATGACGGCCTGCACCTGCTGCAACTGCATGCGAATCGCGGAGACGAACTGGCGGCGCCGCTCGCGAGTCTCGTTCACGCTGGATGGCGCCTGGCCTAGCGCCTCGGCGCGCCACTCGTCGTCTCGCGCCGCGCGCTCGAAGGCTTCGAGCTGCCAGCGCAACGTGTCGCACGCGCAGAGCATCACGAGTCGCACGCCTTCCTCGTCGACTTGCTGATCAACGGTCACAACCACCACGTCCTCGTCGTCGCCGGACCGCACCGGCCAGATGGAGTCACCGTCGTTGTCGTTTTCTGGGTGCGTTTGCCACGTGGCGGATTCGTCTCCGCATTCTCGGCGCTGGAGGAGAAGCTGCCATTGGTGGAAGCTCGACTGCAGCCTGAAAATACGGGAGTAGTGAAGATAGAGATAGCGAAGAATAAACAATGAGGTGCCTTAAAAAGGGAGGGGAACTGGCCCTGAAATTATAGAAATGCGATAGGAGTTTTAAGGTACGGGAGGGAGAAAAGGTAGGTGTCGCAATAGGGGGACATCGAGATACCTAAAACGGACCCAAAGGAAAGAGGGTTGCGACCCCAAAGCAGGATCGAAAGCGGACCTAACCTAGAGGATCTTAAGAACCCATGGCGTGCGCATGGCGACTGGACGTGGTACGAGGTAAGTCGACAGTGAACAAAAAAATGCGACGAAAAACGCGAATCGCGAAACAATTGCGAGTCACCATCAGGACTGGCCGCGGAGTTGCGGCGGAGGTGACGAGAGATAAGAAGAGAAGCCGGCAGACGGAGAGAGGGAGAGAGGGAGAGGAGACGGACCTGTCTGCCGAGTCTTGCACCTCCTCAGCCGCTAGGAAGAGCGGGTCGGCTTGCCACGTGTACAACGTGGCGACTACCATGACTAAACGTGTGCACAGGAATACTCGCGATTCAAGTAGTATAAACGACCAATTCTGCACTAAGGTATACGCTCTACTGTGATTCTGTACGTTCTAGACAGAACTGAACCTAACGGTCGACTAGGCCTACTTTGGCCAACTGGCTTACGTCAGCGATCGAAGAAACTCTAATCAAAGGAATTCTGGAACCTGTCTCGCTGGCACATCGGGAAGTTCGAGCATGGAATCTATTACCGCATAAATCAAGTTTTTGGAAGCCTAGGGCTGCGCGAGCAGAATCGAAGTTTACAAGAACAAGGCGAGCTGCTTCATTGAAGTTGACGAGTTCAGGTCAGGTCTGACAGGATCAAACAGCAGCAGCAGCAGCATTGAAGTTGACGACGAGGCAAGAGAGACGAGACGAGACGAGACAAACAAGCAAGAACCAGCGGTGAGGCGAGGAGAACGCGAAGCAGCAGCGGTGGTGAGTGTGTGAGTGTGTGAGTTTGTGTGGTGTGGGTAGTGGTGACTGGGCATGGAGAGACTCGGCTCAGTGGTGAGACTCGAGGTTCGAGACCCGGTTCGGAGGAGTGTGAGGGAGACCGAAGGAATCGAGACAGGGCAGCGCGGCATATAGGTTGCTGTTCATTGGTGGATGGCCTCGAGACGCTGCGGCGCTGAACCGAACCTGGTGGCTCGAGGCAAGTTTGTCCACTTGTAGGGTGGTGGTGGGTGGGTGGCTGGGTGGTGCGGCAATTTCGGCTCGGGAATGAGGGGAGGGTGGCAGGGAGAGGTTGCTGGGCTTGGGAGGGGCGAGGGGGGGTTTGGGGGTGCGGTTGGTGCGGCAAAGAGGGGGGAGGAGGGAGGGTTTTGGTTCGTCAAGCGCTCGGGAACGCGTCAGCCGTGCAGAGCGGAGGCGGAAGAAGCCCCGCCGACACGCTGCTGTACACCAATGAACGCTGCCGGAAAGTCGAAAATGTAGGCTGGAAGAAGAAACGGTGGTCGTTTGTTGTACAAAGTTCGGCTGGGTTCAAGCATGATGTAGACTTCGCGTCGGACAAGAGCAGGTCCGAGCCACTTGCGGTTGGTGGATACAGTATAGAATTACGGTGACAGAAAAAGACACATGGGGCAGGGACATGGATGATGGGCAGACGTTGGAGAAACCGATTTGGTTTCGATCGAGGCATAGCCACCACGACGAACGAGACACAGGAGCTGTTCATGGCGCCCTTAGCCATGCCCGGCCTAGTTTGGGTTAAAGGTTCGGCAGAAATGGTAGGGTGGCTCGGTAACGCAAGCCTGTTTGCCCCACAAGCCTCCCTGTGGCAGACTTTGACGTTTCGTTTTCACTGCTGGCATTGTGATAACAGTCACAGCCGTCAATTGTAGCTGATGTATTGGGGATGGGGTCTTGGCTGCGTCGAATGTTCGGGTCCCACTCTGACGGTTGACCTGCCAATCTGACGTCGCCGTCATAATCCGTGGTAAATCAGCGCAGCATAGAGCCAGCTGGCAGTTACATCCCATCGATTTTTGTAGCGGGCAGGGTCGTCCAAACGTTTCTGAGGCCGATCCCTGCCTTGACAACGACACCCACAATGCAGAAAACCTAGTTACACGAGCTATGATTGGTGCTCGACATTCCACGTGCGCTAGATACAGTACGACCGACATGAGCACCGTCCACGTTGAAACACAGCTGGACTCGATGTCTTCACGACGAGAAAGTGCGTGACTGGAACGTGGATTCGATATAAGGGGATTACAGCGCAGCAGGTTTGGTCGTCCATACTTCGTGGCCAGTCAATCTGAAATTTCGCTTGAAGCAACTAGATTATCAGCTTCACAAACGAGTCTTCCAAGCTCCTTCCAGAATACAGTGCACAGACACACTTCTTTCACACATAAATTGAATTAAAAAATGCACCCACAATCCCAATGGATCATACTATGACAACCCTCGACGTGAACAAGTTTTATCAAGCTCATTCACCTCTTCCCTCGCCACATCTCCGCTCCACGCACCGCTATCATCAGTCCAAGAGCTGTCGTACGCACCATCGAGCAAATAATCATGACCTTGTTTTCCACTATCATTCCCCCAAAATCTGGGCCTAGGGAAATGACTGTGACTTGATCCTTCCCCGTCCCTTTTACCACCGTATAATGTGCTCAAACCATGTGTATGTGTGTGTTTACCACGTTCTTGATTATGAGGTGAAATTACACCCTCTCGGCTGAAGAGCTGACTGTGAATCTCCCCGCTTTGGCCAATATCAAGTGTGTGGCTCCCAGTGCGGTTCTCCCGAGCCTCATCCCTAGGTTCGGTGATTGCTCCGGAGTGTGGTGGAGGCTGTAGGGTTGCAGAAGAGTGTGCTATGTGGTGGGTGCTCTGAGTCGTGGAGGAGAGGGAGTGTGAGAGTGTGAGGAGAGGGGAGATCCCTGCAGGTTGCTGCTCGGCTGGTTGGCTCGGTGAGTGTCGGAAGTGCGAAAGCAATGTGGATGACTCGGTTGACTTTTGAACTGACTCAGTTGACTTTTTGGCTGACTCAGAAGCCATCCCTGCGGGTGGCTGGCCGGCTAGTTGGCTCTGTGAGTGCCAGGACTGTGAAGGCGATGAGGTTGACTCAAGGTCAGACTTGCAAGAAGACAATGCCAGGTCCCCACTGCAGCACAAGGGAAGGGGGGCAAGACAAGGAGAAAGGCGAGTTGGTTCTTGAGGTGCCTCTGGCACTGGTGGCAACAGTGCAAAACCCTAGACACAACACAACACAGCACACCTTCCTATTTCTTCTCACCAGTCCAACCCTGGGACTGTCATCCTCAGCAGTCTCGGCATCACCGCCCCCTCTGCCTCTGGCACAGGCGGCAGCAGGGGATGGTATACCTAGAATGGGGAAGTGGGTGGGGCTACTAGAAGGTCTCACCTGTAGTCCAGCCCTTGAACAGTCATTCTCAGCAGTCTCGGCATGGCCGCCGGTTCTGCCTCTGGCACAGGCTTCAGCAGGGAAAAAGCAACCGCCCCTGCCTCACTCATGCCAACCATACGCACCACCCACCCAGCTTCATCTCACCAGTAGTCCAGCCCTTGCACTGTCATGGCATCTCAACCCTAGCCACCACACACCCATTGGTGTTTCCTCACCAGTAGTCCAGCCCTTGCACTGTCATGGCATCTCAACCCTAGCCACCACACACCCATTGGTGTTTCCTCACCAGTAGTCCAGCCCTTGCACTGTCATGGCATCTCAACCCTAGCCACCACACACCCATTGGTGTTTCCTCACCAGTAGTCCAGCCCTTGCACTGTCATGGCATCTCAACCCTAGCCACCACACACCCATTGGTGTTTCCTCACCTGTAGTCCAGCCCTTGCACTGTCATGGCATCTCAACCCTAGCCACCACACACCCATTGGTGTTTCCTCACCTGTAGTCCAGCCCTTGCACTGTCATGGCATCTCAACCCTAGCCACCACACACCCATTGGTGTTTCCTCACCTGTAGTCCAGCCCTTGCACTGTCATGGCATCTCAACCCTAGCCACCACACACCCATTGGTGTTTCCTCACCAGTAGTCCAGCCCTTGCACTGTCATGGCATCTCAACCCTAGCCACCACACACCCATTGGTGTTTCCTCACCTGTAGTCCAGCCCTTGCACTGTCATGGCATCTCAACCCTAGCCACCACACACCCATTGGTGTTTCCTCACCTGTAGTCCAGCCCTTGCACTGTCATGGCATCTCAACCCTAGCCACCACACACCCATTGGTGTTTCCTCACCTGTAGTCCAGCCCTTGCACTGTCATGGCATCTCAACCCTAGCCACCACACACCCATTGGTGTTTCCTCACCTGTAGTCCAGCCCTTGCACTGTCATGGCATCTCAACCCTAGCCACCACACACCCATTGGTGTTTCCTCACCTGTAGTCCAGCCCTTGCACTGTCATGGCATCTCAACCCTAGCCACCACACACCCATTGGTGTTTCCTCACCTGTAGTCCAGCCCTTGCACTGTCATGGCATCTCAACCCTAGCCACCACACACCCATTGGTGTTTCCTCACCTGTAGTCCAGCCCTTGCACTGTCATGGCATCTCAACCCTAGCCACCACACACCCATTGGTGTTTCCTCACCTGTAGTCCAGCCCTTGCACTGTCATGGCATCTCAACCCTAGCCACCACACACCCATTGGTGTTTCCTCACCTGTAGTCCAGCCCTTGCACTGTCATGGCATCTCAACCCTAGCCACCACACACCCATTGGTGTTTCCTCACCTGTAGTCCAGCCCTTGCACTGTCATGGCATCTCAACCCTAGCCACCACACACCCATTGGTGTTTCCTCACCTGTAGTCCAGCCCTTGCACTGTCATGGCATCTCAACCCTAGCCACCACACACCCATTGGTGTTTCCTCACCTGTAGTCCAGCCCTTGCACTGTCATGGCATCTCAACCCTAGCCACCACACACCCATTGGTGTTTCCTCACCTGTAGTCCAGCCCTTGCACTGTCATGGCATCTCAACCCTAGCCACCACACACCCATTGGTGTTTCCTCACCTGTAGTCCAGCCCTTGCACTGTCATGGCATCTCAACCCTAGCCACCACACACCCATTGGTGTTTCCTCACCTGTAGTCCAGCCCTTGCACTGTCATGGCATCTCAACCCTAGCCACCACACACCCATTGGTGTTTCCTCACCTGTAGTCCAGCCCTTGCACTGTCATGGCATCTCAACCCTAGCCACCACACACCCATTGGTGTTTCCTCACCTGTAGTCCAGCCCTTGAACTGTCATCCTCAGAAGTCTCGGCATGGCCGCTCGTTCTGCCTCTGGCACAGGCGGGAGAAGGGAAAACCCTATCCCTCCTGCCCCACTCCCTTCAGGCCCCCTCATACTCTCCCCTCCACCCGGGTTTTCAAACCCCTCCTCTGCTGATAAGTAGGAAGCAGGGGAGGCGGCAGCTGGGGAAGGTATATCTGGGGAGGGGTAGTGGGGCGGTGGGAAGGAGGGATGGTGGCGTCTGGGTGTGTGGTGGGGAGAGGCGAGGGAGGAGGAGTGAGAAGGGGAGTGAGAGAGGGACTGTGAGCGGGAGTGAGAGGGAAAGTGTGGGGGTTGAGGGGAGGAGTAGGGGGAGGGGTGGGAGGGGCGGAGACGGGAGGGATGGGTGCGAGGGTGAGGGAGTGAGGAGAGGAAGGAGAGCAGAGGGGTTTGTGTGGTGGGGCGAGATGGGGAGGAGTGAGTGGAGGAGGAGTGAGAAGGGGAAAGGAGGGATCTGGAGGGGGTGGGGGTGAAGGGGGTCTGATGGGGGTTAGGGGCACGGAAGGGTACACGGGAGGAAGAGGAGGAGGAAGCGGAGGAGGAGGAAGAAGAGGAAGCAGAGGAGGCGGAAGTAGCAGTGGTAGCACTTGCAGTTGCTGTTGGTGCGGATACTGATTTGCTGCTGAAAAGGGGGGAGCAAGGAGGGGCAGGGCAGGCAGGAAGGGAGATAACGGAAAACGGAGAATGGATTGAAAGAAGGTTCGTGAGACGACTTTTCAGTCGACTCAGAGTCAACTCGATTTGCTGGGGAGCACAGAGGGGCAGGGCAGGCAGAAAGGGAGATAACGGAAAACGGATTGGAAGAAGGCTGGTGAGACGTGGGTACGGGGAAGAAGGGAGTGTTGAGGAGAGAAGAGGAAGTGAATGGTGGGGAGGCTGAAAAGAGAGCAATGCAAGGGGATGGGATGGAGGCGACAGGGAATGGAGAGAAGATAATTGGAAAATTGAAGGACATAAAGATGGATATTTTTTTGTTTTCATTTTTTTTTTCACCTACATAAAATGTTATGTAAGACTGCTTACCATGCTGCCATGGAATCTTCAGACTGAATTTGCCGCAGTAGCTGCAAGCGGGGACGGGATGGGAGACATCAATTGAAAGGAGAGAAGTATTCATCAAGATTTGAAGTGTCGCACACATGCCGCACGCATGTCGCACGCATGTCGCACGCATGCCGCACGCATGCCGCACGCATGCTGCACGCATGCCGCACGCATGCCGCACGCATGCCGCACGCATGCCACACGCATGTCGCACGCATGTCGCACGCATGTCGCACGCATGTCGCACGCATGTCGCACGCATGTCGCACGCATGTCGCACGCATGTCACATGCATGTCGCTTGCACATGTCGCACACTTGTACGCTAGCCGACTCGTAGCCGGTCTTCAATCACAAAGTAAACTTGATACTTTCCAACAGCTGTACACCACACACGCACATACACACACACTCATTTTCTTCAACTCACCTCCACCACTTGACTTATCGCCGGAGCTTTCCCAGCATCAGCAGCAACACACATTTCAGCCACAGCAGCAGCCTCACTTGCACACAACAGATGCACTGGTCACACAAATAAACACCAAGTTGTTTGGTTGGACGATAGGTACAAAGAACTCACCTCCACTACTTGACTCATGGCTGGCCGTTTAGCAGCATCAGCAGCAACACACAGCCACAGCAGCCACCCTTACACACAGGTCACAACAGGTCACACTGTTACACACTCTCACCTCCACTTCTTGACTCATCGCCGGTCTTTTCCCAGCATCAGCAGCAACACACATCCAAGCCAAAGCAGCCACCCTTGTATTGAACGCAACGCACCCACACGCACTGGTCGGACACATAGACACTTGGTTGTAAGGTAGATAGGACGCACCTCCACTACTTGACTCATGGCCGGCCGTTTAGCAACATCAGCAGCAACACACATCCCAGCCACGGAAACCACCCGAACCAGACTCCCCTCGTCGAACCTCCCCTCCAGCAACGGGTCGGCGAGCTGCCGAACCTGCAGCCTAGGCTCGGCAAGCAGCGGCCTGGCCCACTGCACGAGGCTCTCCACACCTCCAGGCTCGGTTCGGACCACAGGTTTACGTCCGGTGAGAAGCTCCAGGAGGATAACACCGAAGCTATATACATCACTCTTGAGACTGAAACTCCCCGTGAGTGTGTATTCTGGAGCCATGTAACCGAACGTGCCCACCAAATGTCCCGATACCATTTGTGCTGATACCATTTTATTCTGATCGACCATCTGCTCTGATACCATTTTATTCTGACTGACCATCTGCTCTGATACCATTTTATTCTGATCGACCATCTGCTCCGATACCAGTTCCCTCCGCTCGGCCACGCCTCCCCCTCGCCTTCCCATCAACCATCCTCTCTCACCCTCTCCGCTCTCCTCTTGATTTAGCCAATCTCCTTTCCCCGACTCTTCTCCCTCCCTCTCCCTGCCTTCCTCCTCCCCCTCCACGCTCCCACTCCCCGCACCCCTTTTCCTGCCTTCTCCCCCCTCTTCTACGACAGAAATACCCAACTCCTTCTCCTGCCGAACCACCACTGTCCTAGCCAGCCCGAAATCAGCGATCTTAGGCACCAAGTCTCTATCTATCAGCACATTTGCAGATTTCAAGTCCCGGTGGATGATAGAAGGGGAAGAGTCCTCATGCAAGTAACGTATGCCCTGGGCTACTCCCAGTGCTATTTTGAGCCTCTGAGGCCAGTCTAAGGGGGGGAGAGGAAGGGGAGTGAGGGGAGGAGGAGAGAGAGGAGGAAGTAGAGGAGCGTGGGAAGCACCTTCTCCTCCTCCTCCTCCTCCTCCTCCTCCTTCTCCTCCTTCTCCTTCTTCCTCCTCTCTTTCTCCCCCTCCCCCTCTTTCTGTCCCGTTCCTTCTTTCTCCCCCCTGCCCTCTTTCTCGTCCTGGTCTTACATGCAGCAGAGAGTGCAAAGTCCCCTTTTCCACCAACTCAAAAACCAGGCACCGAAAGTTTCCCTCACGGCAGATTCCCAGAAGCTTCACGATGTTTCTGTGATTCAAACAGCTTAAAATACGTGCCTCCGCGGAGAACTCTTTATCAAAATCGAGTTCCCTTGTAAGGGGGATGTCCGCAGAACCTGCTCCCCAGCCTGCTCCCACACCTGTTTGCAAGCCTGTTGCTTCCGAGCCTTGCGCTCCCAAACCTGCTCCCGAACCTGCTCCCGAGCCTGCTCCTGCTGCTGCTGCTGCTGCTGCTGCTGCTGCTGCTTTTGGTGAGGCTCTTGCTGCTGCGGCTGCTGCTTCTGCTGCTGCTGCCATAACCATAGCTGCTCCTGCTGCTTGCTCATTTAGGTTCGGTGACCGAGCTACATCTGCCAACGCTGTTGCCGAGGTTCGGGAGGAGAGGAGCAGCTTCACAGCAACCGGCGTCCCGTTTTCCAAAACCCCCTTGTACACCCGACTAAACCCTCCCTGCCCGATCAGCCTGCCCGAGCTGAAATTTTCCGTGGCTGCCTGTATCTGCGCGACTGAGAAAGAATACGACCCGTCACAAAAGTTTCCAAGCTTTAAGGACGTTGCAAAAGGGATGCCGGAACTTTCGGGCTTTAAGTGCCTCTTCTTTGTCTTCTTGCCCCTCCTCCCACCTACCTCCTCTCCCACTCCCCTACTGATCTGGTTTCCTGCATTCCCCCCCACTCCTACCCTTGCACCTTCTTCCCATCCCACTGAATCCCCTCCTTCTCTTATTAAAAGGGTAGGTCTATGTGGAGGGGAGGAGGGAGGAGAGGAATAATCATGTGGAGGGGAGTAAAAGCTTGCTCGTTTATCAGGTGAGTGCACCCCAGCTGCTGCTGCTGCTGCTGCCGCTGCTTCAGCAGCAGCAGCCGAGCTTGCTTCAGCAAGCCACGAGCCATCCCCCTCCTCGTCTCCCTCACTCCCTCCCCCCCAAAACTGCCCGACTGTTCTCACCCCCTTAAACGCGTTTCTCTGAGCCTTCCGGGTGACTAGCCGGTTCCACACTATCGCAACCAGGGTAACCAGCGCAAATACCCCCACCGGGATTCCAATGATCAGGAGGATGAGGAGAGAGGAGAGCGAGGAGGAGGAGGGAGGAGAGGAAGAGGAGGAGGAAGGGGAGGATGTGTCACTGGCGTTGGTGCTGTTAGCGGTGATGGTGGGAGTGAGAGGCTGATCGGGGGAGGGAGGAGGGGGAGGGCTGGGAAACGGTTGACCTGAAAGGGGGCAGAAAACAGAAAACAGAAAATAGAGGGGGAAATGAAAGGATACGGTGATGCTAGATGAGAAAAGAGTTGGGGCTTGCTATTAGCGGTGATGGCGGGTGAGAGAGGCGGGTGAGAGAGGCTGATCGGGGCAAGGAGGAGGAGGAGGGCTGGGGAGTGGTTGATCTGAGAGGGGGGCAGAAAACAGAAAAAAGAACAGAGGGGGGAACGAAAGGAGGGATGAGAGAAGGTAATGTGCTTGTTCTATTAGAGGTGATGACGGGTGAGAGTGGCTGATCGGGGGAGGGAGGAGTAGGAGGGCTGCGGAACGGTAAACCTGACAGAGAGCAGGAAACAAGGTACGGAAAACAGAGAACAGAACGTGTTTTTGAGTGGACTCAAAAACAGTCGACTCAAAAGCAGAGCGTGTTTTTGAGTCGACTCAAAAACGGTAAACCTGACAGAGAGCAGGAAACAGGGTACGGAAAACAGAGAACAGAACGGGCAAAAAGAATTTTGAGATCAGCTGCCTCGGTTTCACGCGCACATGTTTTTGCGAGTCCTAAAAAAACCCAAGCGCTTAACCCTGGACATTAAACTGCATAACCCTCTCTTTTTTCTATTTAGGAACGCTAGAAAACCAACTCTGTACAACCAGAACGGCACCCACTCCAACCACACACGAGAGCAGCCCAACCCATCCCAACCCAACTTACCCGGGTTTAGAATAAAAAGGACGGTAAACTCCCCAAACAAACTCGGGTCAGGCTGCACTCCTCCTCCCAGCAACACCTGCCGAATCCTGGTCACCTCGGTCCGATTCAGCTGCACCGGCAGCTCCCCCTGAGAGTTTCCATTCTCTGCTCCTGCCAGCAAGCGTGAGTGCCTCTGTACTTCTGCCTCTGCTCTTCTCCTTTCTTCTGGCAGGAGATGAGACTTTTGAGTCGACTCAAAAGTCACCTTGGTACCAATGAGGCCCGCTGGATCGCTTTTGAGGTGCCTCACAAGAGGTCCAGCCTCTGCTGCTGCGGCTGCTGCTCCTGCTGCGTTTTCTGCTGTTGCCTCCACCGCCGCTACTGCTGCTGCTGCTGCTGCTGTCCCTTCCCCTTCCACTGGCAGAAAATACGTGGTAACCACAAGCGCCGTGGGATCAGGATCGTAAGTGACAGCCCAGACCTCCACTTGAGGGGGCTGTAAGAGGAGGGGCGAGGCGAGCTCTCGCGCGAACGAGGGGACGTTGTGTAGGAAGGAGTCGAAGGAGGAGTGCAGGCGAGCTATGAGCACCATTGGGAGGGCACAGGTGCAGGGGAGGGAGGGGGAGGTGGAGGGAAGGAGGACGGTGGGGGATGGGCAGGGGGGGCAGTCTGGGAGGAAAACAAGGGGGAACGGGTGGGGGGAAAGAGGGGCAAGGTAGTTTGTCAGAGGATTTTTCTGATCAGCGTGATAGGGAAGGCCAAGGCGAGCTGTTGTGCGAACACAGGGAAGTTGGTCAGGAAGGAGTCGAAGGAGGAGTGCCGGCGAGCTATGAGCACCATTGGGAGGGCGCAGAGGCAGGGGAGGGAAGGAGTGGAAGAGGAGGGTGGGGGTAACAGGGAGGGGGTGGGAGAAAAGAGGAGATGGGTGGGTGGGTGTCGGGAGAATGGTGGGAGTGAAGCAATCAGCGAAGGGAGAGAGAGGGGAACGAGAGGGAGCGGTGGAGAGAGGTGAAGAGAGGTGGGAATGAAGTGCAGAGAGGGCAAGTGAT